GAAAGGAAAATTTGAAAGGAAACTATACATTGAGACAAAAAATACATAAGTACATTATTATAACCTGAGGGTAGAGTAAGAGTTAAGAAGAAAGTGCAAATTGGAAAAATAATAACAACTTGATAAATGAAAAACAAGAACTTAGACATAACACTGTATAAACAAAAAATCACACATTGGAATAAAATAATTGAACACATATGACTAACAAGTGCCTTGTACACGGACTATTTTTAAAAGAGTTAAAAGAAAAAAATAGCAACTCTTCACTCTTCTGTTCCAAAGGGATATAAGTCCATAAGCAGACATTTTTTTCAGACGAGGGAAGGAAATGACCAACAAATAGGTTGAAAAGATGCTTCTCTAGCAATGAGCAAAATGTACATTTGAAACCACACCAAGCAACCAGAGAGAAAGTACAGAAATTAATTGAGTTAATTATCTGGGGTGCCATCAACTTTGCAGGAATAAGGAAGGTCCTTGGAATCTTGCATGTGACTGACCCTGGTTAAATTCCTGGCATAGAACCAGAAGTAAGCCCTGAGCACTGCTGGGTGTGGCCCCAATGTAAAAAACCACAGTGAGATGCCATTTCACATATTCCAAATTGGGAAAAAGACTCCAGGCAATGCAAATGTGGTGGGGGGAATGTACCTGCCAGTAGTGGCATAAATGACATAGTACCTTGGGATACAGTTTCACATCCTAAGTTAATTAAGTCCCTAATCTATGTCTCAATAATTCCTCTCCTGGGCACACAGCCTAGAGACACTCTTGAACAAACACAGCAGAGGAATCAGGGTGAGAGATAGCATTGGTTGCATGAAATAAAAATGGAAATAAACCCAGAGTGGGGCCAGCAGGGAAGGGAAAGACCCTGCTAAAGACCCTTCTACAGTACCATGTCAAAATATTCCCTTATTCTTAACCTTTGGCCACTTCCCACTGCAGTTTGAACAGAATTCTGACCATCACCACCTCCAGCCCATCCCCTTCCTTCATCTTCTGCTCATCTTTTCAGCTCACCAGATGTTACTCTCCCAAGTTCTTTTTTGTTTTGTTTTGTTTTGTTTTTTTAAATTTTATTGAATCACTGTGAGATAGTTACAAGTTTTCATGTTTGGGTTACAATCACACAATGATCAAACACTCATCCCTCCACCAGTGCACATTCCCCACCACCAATATCCCCAGTATACTTCCCCTTCGGAGAGCCCGGCAAGCTACCGAGAGTATTCGATATGCCAGACACAGTAACAACAAAGTCTCCAATGGAGACGTTACTGGGCCCGCTCAAGCAAATCGACGATCAACGGGAGGGCCTTTACCTTTTACCTTATACTTCCCCTTGCAAACCCTCCCCCTGCCTCCATGGCAGACATTATTCCCCATAATCTCTCTCTAGTTTTGGACATTATGGTTTGCAATAAAGACACCGAGAAGTCATCATGTTTGGTCCTTTATCTACTTTCTGTACACATCTCCCATCCCGACCAGTTCCTCAAGCCATCATTTTCTTAGTGACCCCTTCTCTACTCCAGCTGCCTTCTCCCCTTTGCTCATGAGGCAGGCGTCCAGCTATGGAGCAATCTACCCGTCCCGTGTATCTACTATCCTTAGGTGTCATCCTCATGTTATGTTGTTTTATAGTCCACAAATTAGTGTAGTCCTTCTATGTCTGTCCCTCTCTTTCTGACTCATTTCACTTAGCATGATACTCTCCATGTCTATATATTTATAAGCAAAGTTCATGACTTCATCTCTCCTGATAGCTGCATAGTATTCTATTGTATAGATGTACCAAAGTTTCTTTAACCAAGTTCTTTAAGACACAAGAGCTTCCTGACCTCGGGGTACCTACTCCCTCCATTCCCTCTGAACTCAGCTCCTTCTTCATTGCTCAGAAACAGCTGCTCAAATACCAGTTTTGTAGATAGGCGTTTACTTGCCAGGCCATCTACATTCATTTTTTTTCATCTTATGCTTTAACCTGACCCTCTATCACTGCATCAATTAATATCTGAATGATGTATGCATTCACTTATGTTTTGGCCTGATTTAGACATTATTAATCTCCAGGAGGGCAGGACTAGTTCTATCTCACTCATGATTACACTCTCTGTGCATACCACATAATCTGGTCTTTAGGTCGATCGGAAGAATTGAATAAAAACATTGCATAAATTGTATCTGTGGTTTGGGGGAGTAGTTTGTTAATCTGAGAGTGCATTTTATTACTCCACTTCATGGGAAGACCATATAAGCCTCATATATTCTTAATAATTAGAAGTTAAAGGAACAGGTTCACCTGGCCTTAGTTTTGATCCCTTGTAATAACTAATGCGATCCTGAGTGTTTCACTCAAAGCAAATCATTTTTCAATAACTTTATACCTATTACATTAAGTAGATCTTTCAACTAAATACTTTCCAGTACCCAAGCCGATTGAAGATATGTGTAGTATTTTGTGGTGCTTTTAAATGTTTTGTTGTTGTTTATGCTGGGAATCAAGTCCCCATGAGACATATCCTCCATCACTGAGCCACATCTGTGGTCCCTCAACTACACATTCAAAACAAAAACACTCAAAGATACTAATACAGAGATTTGGTGCTGAATTTTCAAACATGCACATGAAAGAATACATGGGCTCCTTCTTAAAGAATCCAAATATACAGATAAAATAGACATTGCCTCTTTTTTGAATTTGGGTTGATGCAAGATTTTATTTTACTTTTATTCTATTTATTTACATGTATTTAAGTTATATGTAACATACTTAAATTAGATATTGCATGCTTTATTTATTTTTTAATGCTTACCTATTTTTGTACTTTACTTTTTTTGGGGGGTCACACCCGGTGATGCTCAGGGGTTACTCCTGGCTCTGCACTCAGGAATCACCCCTGGTGGTGCTTGGGGGACCATATGGGATGCTAGGGACCAAACCCAAGTGGGCCGCTTGCAACGCAAATGCCCTGCCCGCTATACTATCACTTCGGCTCCTGTTTTTGTACTTTAACTGAATTAATTTTTTCCTGTTTAGAGGTTGAACTGCAAATAGTTTGTATATTATATAAGATATGGATTAAGCAGATGAAGTGATTCAAGAAATGCTCAGCAAAATATGGAAAGAACACATGGTTTTTACATTTATAATCCTAGTACTTGTGCTGTTGCTAAACAACCATGAATACAAGTAAAATAAACTCATCTTATTGATGGATGGAGAAATTAAACTAACATTTGTTGTCTTAAGTAAGATTTTTTTTTATAAATTAAGATTCTTGGTCTCTAAAACCTCTCTTTAAAATTATTTAATAGTTTTAATGACCTGTGAATTTCATTAGATACAATGGGACTTATTCTTTGCTTCTTATTTGATATTTTTGTTTAGTTTTTTGTTTTGTTTGGTTTTTGGCCATACATGGTGATGCTCAGGGGTTGCTCCTGCCTCTGCGCTCAGAAATTACTCCTGGTCAGCTTGGGGGACCAAATGAGATGGCAGGGATTGAACCCGGATCAGATATGTGCAAGGGAAGTTTCTCACCGCTGCACTATTGCTCTGCTCCCAGTTTCTTATTTGATTTTTAAAAGCTATAATTTTGTACAAATGATGTCAACCCTTGACTTTTGAGATGTGGTACATCTTGAGATGTGTAAAATTCATGTATGGAAACCATTCCTCTACATTCACTTGAGAACTTTATATCAAACGAGGATAAAAATTGTTTTCTGGTAATTTATTTCCTCTGGCACTTGACCACTATGACATAGAAGTTGCTAGAGAATAATTATGAAAGGATATGAACAGTCAAGATATGAGTTTTCATTAAAATACAACTATTAGAGAAATACTGGTATAAATACCAGTACTTGCATCTAAAAAGAGTATGTTCTGAATCTTATTAAAATTTTCTATAAAGATTGCATTCATCTGGGGGATATAAAGTAACAAAATAGGAGATTAATACCCAAGAATAGCTGAGATCAGCACCAGGAGGATTACTCCATAACTTAGAGGCCAGCCGGGTATCCTAGAGGAAAGGGCAGCTCAGATAGAGAAGGGAGCACCAAATAAAGGATGTTTGGAGGATCCTCCCAGGAGGGGAGATGCATGTCGAAAGTAGACTATGGACTGAACATGTTTGCCACTCAATGCCTCTTTTGCAGACCACAACACCCAAAAGGAGAGAGAGAACACAGGGGATTGCCCTGCCACAGAGACAGGGGGGATGGGGGGATGGGGGTGGGAGGGATATTATCTATGGTGGTGGAAAATGGGCACTGGTGGAGGGATGGGTATCTGATCATTGTATAATTGAAACCAAAGCACAAAAAATTGTAAATCTACAACTTTAAAAAAAATAAAAAAAAATAAAGGAAAAAAAAATTTTCTATAAACCAGGGCAGAGAGATGGTACAGCAGTTAGGGACCTTGCTTTGCACATACTGACCTAGATTTGATCCCTGGCATTGCATATGGTCCTCTGAACCCTGCCAGGAGTGATCCTTGAGAACAGAGGCAGGAGAAAGTCCTGAGATTGCCATGTGTGGCCCCTGACCTACTACCTGACTCCAAAACGCTGCCAATAATCCACTGCACAGGTATAATTTAATATCTCATTTTAAAAGCCCAGAACAGGGCAACTATTTAAATAGTTTAATAATTATTAGGCATTAATAAGCCAGATAACTTGTACACCAAGTCAGCTGTTTGGTGTAGCCACTTGGTTTGGGAGCTGAGGACCTGAGTACCCGGCCAGCTAGCCCTAAGTCCCCCTCTGCAGGGTGATGTTCTCATTTGCTCCCCACAACACACCACTTTGCTATGTAATCCCAACAAACAAACGTTCAAGCCCCAGAAACCAGATGTTAAGGGGTGCTGCTGGATGCCACCTTCCAGACCAAGAGGGAGCCCTCCAGCTTGCCAGGGCACCCCTGTGATGCCGGGGGGGGGGGGGGGTTGGCCTTGAGGGAACCCCAAGGTAAGTACCCACCTGAGGAAGACGGAGTTGGGGCTGTCAGCGGGGCTGAGCGGGGCCCTGGGGCTGTTGGGAGCCGTGCCGGCTGTCCTGGGGCTTCCGGGGATCTCAAATCTGAACACCAAGTCATTGGAAGACATTCTTTTCTTTACCATCATGTGTGGGCTGCCGAGTGAAGAAATCAGCTCAGGGGCTCATGTCCCGATCCCCGCAATAAGGTGGAAAAACCTCAGCGCCTCAGCTTTGCACAGCGCCCACATTGCAGGAAGCGCTCTTTTCACATGACTGCCAGGCTGGCTGAGGAGACTTTTTTTTTCTCTCCAGTTAATGAGTGACACAAAAGTACAGCCCAGGGAGGCTTTCATCCTACCCACATTTGCTCTGAAGGAAAAATAAACGTATTTGGGAAAGGCAGCTTTCTGTTTACTCACAGCATACCTCAGGAGATGCTTGGGGAGAAGAAAAGACGTAAAAGAAAGAAAATAACAGGCAAGGAGACTGGCAGTGTCTAAACATTAGATGAGGGGATGCTTTTTTTCTAAGCCCTGGCTGAGCCTGTCCAACAGGGGAAGGAATGTGGATGCTGAAAGGCTCCACACACTGGAAATAACCAGTCCACCTGCTGTCACAGCCAAGTACTGGCAAGACCCATGCGAGCTTTGAAGACCACATTCCTTGATCCACGGGACAGGAAGCTTCTTGTATTCTTTGGGAAGCATCATGTACTAAGTCAGGGGCATGGGGGTTCAACCTTCTCCAGCTTGTGTACTTTGCTGGTAACAGGAGACTGTGATCTGTACCAAAACAGCAACCATCACCAGTGAGAAACAAACAGAAAGCGCTAGAAGACTGCCTGCTGACTGTGGAGGGATCCCCACCAGCGTGTGGTCTCTGGCACACTTTGCTCACAGGGTGGAATCAGGTAGGAGGAGGTGCCACGGAAATTCACCACTGTGCAACGCACTGTTGTTACTGATAGCACCTGGAACAACCATTGGACCCCGTGCAGGAAGTTCAGAAAATACATTTCCTCATGCACCTGATCACTTTCCAAGTTCCCGCACAAGGGACAAAAGGTTACGCCTCCACCTTTGTTACCAGGCTCATGAAGAAGGGTCTGCCCGGGAACAGGTGTATTCTCTCCGTGTGTTCCCCTGGTCAGTGGTGGCACTCTGGAGAATGCCTGGCTGAAAGGGAAGTATAGCAGTTGTGACTATGGAGGAGAGCCAAGGTTTCCCAGGAAATTCAACCTTTAGCCCTGGCCTCAGCAGCACTTTGCTCTCACCTGCAGATAAACCACTTAGGGGCAGGTCTGTCCTGCTGGTGTACTGTATGGGCTTGGAGGAGACTTTTCAAATCGGAGAGAGTGTCTCTGGGTAGGGTTTCGCTGGTGCCTCACGGAGTCACCAACTCCTCCCAAGTGGGTCTGGGATTTTCCCAGTTTTCTTGCTGGACAGCCTCTGCTCCCCAGCAGACTGTCACGGGTGGGAACCCTCTTTCTCAGAGCCCTCCAACTTTCTTTCTTGTTCTTTCTTGGCAGGACACAATCTCTATTTCTCACTTTCCTCCTTACCTGTATTCTGTAGTCATGCTGGAAAGAATAGACAAGCTAAGTTACTCTGAACTGTTGGACTTCAACAAACCAATCACTGGAAATTTAAATAATAGCAATATACTTCCAACCGACTTTCTGCTCCTCTAAACAGAAAAATCTAACATCACAGATGACAGTAACTGATGAAACAGACAATGTTGCTGTCCTCTTGGATGTCCTCTTGGATTTTAACTGGAGGTGATGCTTAACTTAGAATAAAAAAGTTCCTAAAGTGGAATCCCAGGGTAATTGGGCACACACACACACACACACACACACACACACACACACACTACATATATATATACATATATATATATATATATATATACATATATATATATGTGTGGGGCTGGAGCGATAGCACAGTGGAAAGGCATTTGCCTTGCACGCAGCCAACATGGCCGACTCGAGTTCGATTCCTCTGCCCCTCTCAGAGAGCCTGGCAAGCTACCGAGAGTATCTCGCCCGCATGGCAGAGCCTGGCAAGCTACTCGTGACATACTCGATATGCCAAACACAGCAACAACAAGTCTCATAATGGAGATGTTACTGGGCCCGCTCGAGCAAATCGATGAACAATGGGAGGACCGTGATGATTATATATATTTATATATATATGTATATTGGAGCCATACCTTGTGGTTTTCTGGCTCTGCACCCAGGGATCATTCCTGGGGGTGACCATATGGGGTGCTGGGGACAGAATCTGTTTTGGCTCTATGCAAGGCAAGCACCCTACTCACTGTATTATTTCTCCAGCCCTTGTACTAATTAATCTATTTATCTATCTATCTACAACTTTCTTTAAGGCACTATGATTTACAAAGTTTCTCATAATAGAGTTTTAGGCGTACAATGTTCCAACACCAATCCAACTACCATTGTGACCTTCCTGCTGTACTACCTATTATCATTTGAGTCTATTTCTGCTAGATAATGTCATAATAATAACTCATTTAGTCCTTGCCCAAGTGACATTTTTTTGGGCAGGTGGCAAACTGCATTCTAAAAAATTTGGATGCCTTGTCCATAATGAAGTTGTCTTAAGAGTGCAGTCATGCCAGAGGTTTTTCATTCACTCAACAAACATTTTCTGAGCATTTATATTGAGAAGGGGTCCAGACAGGCTGGGATAGAGAGATAGGTCAAGGGCTGAGCACATGTTCTGCATGTTTGAGGCCCAGGTTCAATTCCCAGCACCACATGGTCCCCCAGCACCACTGGGAACAACCACCAAGTACAGATTTGGAAGTAAGTAACCCTCGAGTCCTCCCAGGTGTGGCTCCTGGAACAAATTTTAAAAAATAAAAGGAGGCAAGGGAATTTGGGTCTGGGATGACTAGAAAAGATGGCGTTTGAGTCAAACTCTGAAGAATGAGAAGACAGTGGAAAGGTAGGACAGAAACAGAGTAAAGCAAGGATCGGGTGTGTGTTTAGGAGTGGAGAGATTCAGAAGTAGGCTGAATTCTAAAGGGCCCTGAATGCCAGTGGATAGCTCAAGCATTACCTTGACAGCAATGGGAATAAATTGCTGAAAGATTTATTTGTGGACTTTGTCATGAGAAGCTTTGGAAACGGAAGATGAGTTGGATGTGACAGCCGTCATCAGCGGACACAGTCCTCCCATATAGGAAGCACCTTAGCAGCCTAAGGGAGGCTGTCCCGAAGTAGTTGAAACAGTATTGATGGGATTGTACATTCTAAGAAAGTGTGTTGGGGGACCTGAGGTGTCTGAAGGGGTGCTGGTTTGCTGTGCAGGCCTCAGACTAGGAGTCTGAGTAAGTTCCCAGACTTTTGGGATCCCTGATACTGTAACAAAGTGAGTATGTGGTCCCTGGACATCAAACCTACATCAACAAAGGGAATGGGAAGGAAAGGGGCAAAAACAAACAAACATAAAAAACAAATTGAAAAGTATAAAAGGTGAGATTGACTGGAATCTACAATAGTAGAAGGAACTCAACTGCCTTCAAGAACCGAAAAGGCAAGGAGAAATGGGGTAGGAGCCAGTGGAGAGGACAGAGAGGGGAGTCTTCTGGTCTCCCTCAGGGCATAGGCAAGGGCAGATGCCTGTATTTGGCTGGGAGGCTGCCCAGCTGTGACTGGCCTCCTGGATTTTACTTCCTGCTGTGGGCTGTCTATGTTAGATCTTTCCAAATGTGCTTATGTTCCAATGGAAACAAAGTCCTGCTGAGACACAGCCACTAAAAGAAAATGTGAGGCCATTCTTAGCCTGGTGCCTGGGGACTGTGTGGTGCCGGGGACAGAACCTGGACTTCTCACATGCAAAGCAAGTGCTTCAGCTCCTTGGTCCATCTGCCAGTCTCAGTTGCTCTCGGCGATGAATGGCAGCAGCCAGTGACTCAGGACAGCACTTGTAGACGGGCTGTTATCTCACCCCCTTGACTGTTCAGACTAGATTCCTCTGCTCAGGAGAGCCTGAATGGCAGCCTCCATTTTTGTGTGAAAATTGAAACAAAGACCAGGCAGCCTTAGCTAAACAAAGGAAGCCTGATGATTATGTAAATATAGCTATAAAAGGCATATACACATCAGGGAGGAGAAATCTATGGTAATAACTAGAATACAACTAAAACAAAAGGGGCAAAGAGCCATTTATAGCCTTTCACAAAAGTGGAGCTTAAAACCAAACCAAACAAGACAAAAGTTGACACTGAGCAGACAGCCTCAAGTTAGGTCACCCACCATTCAAATAACTCATTATAAGTCATTTTACATGTGTGCTCCGGGAAGCATCTTCAGTATCAATTTTCTAGCTGAATAAAGGCTGAGCTAGAGAAGACAGCGATGACCTTGGCTTCTCCCATTTGCTAAGTTTCTTTCTTTCTTTCTTTCTTCCTTCCTTCCTTCCTTCCTTCCTTCCTTCCTTCCTTCCTTCCTTCCTTCCTTCCTTTCTTTCTTTCTTTCTTTCTTTCTTTCTTTCTTTCTTTCCCTCTCTTTCTCTCTCTCTTTCTCCCTTCCTCCCTCCCTCCCTCCCTCCTTCCCTCCCTTCCTCCTTCCCTCCTTCCCTCTCTCTCTCTCTCTCTCTCTCTCTCTCTCTCTCTCTCTTTTTCTCTTTCTTTCTTTTTTCCTGTAGAGCCACACCTAGCGATGCTCAGGGGTTTCTCCTGGCTCTGCACTCAGGAATTACTCCTGGTGGTGCTTGAGGTACCATATGGGACACTGGGGATTGTACCTGGGTCAGATGCATACGAGACAAATGCCCGATCCTTTGTAATATTTCTCCGGCCCCTTGCTAAGTTTTTCTAACATTTCTGGACTTTGCTTTCTATGAAATGAAGAGTTAATAGGTTAGACTTGCCTACAGGTATGTTCTGTTGGGCCTTGAATATGTTTTCTAAGCAGAAATTTTATTATTTTTTTTATTAGGGTCACAACGTGTTTGGGCCTTGAACATGTTTTCTAAGCACAAATTTTATTTTATTTTTTTAATAGCTTTGCTCAGAGGTCACTCCTGGTGGGGGTTAGGGGCCAAGAACTGAGCCGCACTTGCCTTCCCCCCTTGACCACCTCTCTGGCCTGAAGTTTCATTTCTTATTTCATATAAAACACGTTTCTATGGATTTGATCTGGTTTTTGCCTGAAAAAATCAGATCTGGCGAGAGTGGCAGTGGTGGTTTCCCATATCAAGTGGAGCAGATTCGAAAAACCTAAGTTCC